TATATATATAACTAGTTTAAGTAACAAACTAACTTCGTAACAAGATTTCTTATGAGTATTAAAAAGTTATAAAGTGCTTTTCATCACTGATTGATATCCATTAACAAATTATTGGATACCAGGGAACAATGTAGATAAGATGGTGGTTGGAGGTAGACACTAAGAAATAACAACAGGGTTTTCTGTTGACTACCCCCAACCACCATCTTATCTCGGCATAGTGCACGCAATGTCGAGTCACCTAGACTGGTGGCCCTATTACAACTTGATCGATAGCATTCGATTTGCAGTATAAAGGACCTGATGTACATGACATTGATCACCACCCAGTGATCAATCAATTGTGAACAATGTAGAATTGTAACAGTAGTGTGCAATTACGACTTTATTATGTTTATTTTCATGTCGATAATATGTATATAAACATATTATTTAATCGGATAAGGAGCTTAACTTGTTGGTTATTTGTCTGATTTTTGAGCACTTATTTTGAGGATATACGTCAGTGGTTTGATCTTCTATGTAACGTATCATTAGTTCATATTGTATCAATATTAAATTATCCAACTATTGGTATTAGTTTAATTTTAAAAATCAAAAGCTTATTTCCATTCACTATATATCTTAATATCAATATTATGAAGTGCGACAAATTAAAATGTTACTGATTTCATTCCATAATCAATCGTACCGTATCGTGTCATTGGATTTCATCAGTCAATTAACATCTTGTATTATTTTAGCAATTAAACGAACATTTTCATGATTTCACTCGTCGAGATCATGAGTCAGTTGAGGCTAGACTATCATGGAAAACCTGGAAGTACAGTACAGCCATTCCATCTTATTTTGGAACTCCTCAGCAGTGCGCATCCACCATCCAACTCACGGGATCCGAACCCAGGACCTATCAGTCTTGCGCACGAACGCTTAACCATTAGACCACTGACCAGACTTCCAGCGGTGTTAATGTCTAACTTCAACCAATTCACAAAAATTGAGCGATACATCCACCATTATCTTAAGTGACTTACTATCTCATAACATATTTTTTTACTTGAAATAAAGTATCAACCAGTAGTGGAATCATAAAAACAGTATAAATACCATAAACAGCACCAAAAAAGGGTTTTGTATAAATTGTGTATATCAAAGTTTGCCAATCGATTTATTGATCAAGCTATTTGTATAATCAATAAAATGTAATGGGTGATTATTCATTTACGGGTTAGTAAAAATAAAGGGGTGTTTGATGATAAATTTTCTGCTTACTGTTTAACGTACCTTAACAATCGTACGCTTATATTTATAAAATAGGGATTGTGTGTATTTTAAAATCTATAAAAGTGACAACAAGCACTTTATCTTTTTGTTAATGGCATCAAGAGATATTATGTTTTTTTTCAAATACACCATGATCTCATATGTTCAAATAATGATTATCAGTATGGGGTTGTATAGATTGTTGAGCTTTTGATTGAGATCATGTATCGGTTGATATTAGATCACCATTGGAAACTTAGAAGCACTAGACGACCATTTCGTCTCAGTATAGGACTTCTCGGCAGTGTGCATTCACGATGCCACATGCGAGATTCAAACCCAAGAACTTTGATCTTGCATGCGAACGCTTAACCTCTAGACTACTGAGATGGCATTGAACGGTGTTAATGTCTAACTTTCATCGACGCATGAACCAAATAAATTCAACATGCTTACGTTCTATTTACATCAGTTTATGTTATCAATCACGTATTTCATTGGTATTTCAGATATAATCAAGGTGAAATCTACTTTTTTTATGTATAGCAATGAGTAGTTGAATAATAATATTTCTGTGTCTATCTTAATATTGCGTAATACAGTAATTATGGATTAATAATTAGGGAGCCTTAAAAAGAACAACTTTTTGTTCAAATGTCTTATGTCATTTTATTTTTCTATAAGAATTTTCAAATTATTTAAATTAACGCTGGTTTCCATGAGAGAAAAAAAAGACTCATAAAAATAGTAAACATAGGTAGTAACAAGTCAATATACTTCGATATATAATAAACATCTATTTAACTCTAAAAATATATCAAGAATTTTTGAGGTGATCCATCCTTTTTCAATGTTTAACAAGTGGGAAGTATGCAGTATTTTCACTCATTTTTTTTGTTCATTTATTCGATAATTGTTTATGGTTAAATGGATTTGCACTGTCTAGGAGTCTCATATTAGAAAATTCTTTCGGGTAAACTAATTATCTACTTACGCCTGTTAACCCTCGTGGAGGAGAATAGGCGGCTCACCAACATTCTCCATCCAACCCTGTCCTGGACAATCCTTTCCAACTCCTTCCAGTTATTATTCATCCTTTTCATATCTCCTTCTATTATCCAACGTAATGTATTCTTCGACATTCCTCTTTTCCGTTCCCCTTCAGGATTCCAAGTTAGGACCTGCCTCGTGATGCAGTTTGATGATTTCCATAATGTATGTCCTATTCACTTCCATTGTCTTTTCCTAATTTCCTCCTCAGCTGGAAGCCGGTTTGTCTTTTCAAACAGAAGACTGTTGCTGATGATATCCGGTCAATGGATGTTGAGTATCTTACGTAGACAACTATTTATAAATAATTGTACCTTTTTGATAGTTGTTGTTGTAGTTCTCCAAGTTTCAGCTCCATACAGTAGAACTGCCTTGACGTTCGTATTGAAGATTCTCATTTTGATATTGGTTGAAAGTTGTTTTGATTACCATATGTTCTCCAACTGTAAGAATGCCGCCCTTACTTTGTCAATCCTCGCCTTTACGTCTGCATCCGATCCTCCTTGAACATCAGTGATGCTTCCCAGGTACTTCAAGGTTCCCATATTTTCCAGAGTTTTGCCATCAATAGTAACTGAACTGGTGTTCTCCGTGTTGTATTTGGGGATCTTGGTTTTCCTTTGTCTATGTTGAGTTCTATTGATGCAGAAGCTTCTGCTACACTGGGTGTCTTTATCTGCATTTGTTCGTATGTGTTGGATAGGAGGGCAAGGTCACATATCATTTAGAAAAAAAACGATAACCAGAAAATAAGTAAATTACTTTGTATTTAACTAGGAATCTAAAATCTAGTTAACTCAACCTACTGAATAATGTTTCATGTAACAGATAACAAATTCTGGGTATAATAATTAGTTTGAAAATGTATGACACGATGGGAATCTATTCCTTGTTTAATAACACTTGGTAGACTAGCCCATGTACAGAAAATATACTACACTATTTGTAGTCAACCTGGGGGTAGTTATCAAAAATAAAATGTAGAAGTGTGCATCAACTCCGCCTGGAGTCCCTCTGGGGGCTACTTTCGTCATCCAGAAAATACAGGTGTTTATTAACAGTTGTCCACGCGAAATACTTCGGATCCGTTGGCCGGACACTACCAGCAACAACCTACTATGGGAGAGAACAAAGCAGATCACAGTGGAGGAAGAAATCAGGAAGAAGCGCTGGAAGTGGATAGGACACACATTGAGAAAAGCACCCAACTGCGTCACAAGACAAGCCCTCACATGGAATCCTCAAGGCCAAAGGAGGAGGAGGAGAGGAAGACCAAAGAACCCATTACGCCGGGAAATGGAAATAGACATGAGAAAAATGAACAAGAATTGGATGGAACTAGAAAGGAAGACTCAGGACAGAGTGGGTTGGAGAATGCTGGTCTGCGGCCTATGCTTCATTATGAAGTAACAGGAGTAAGTAAGTAAGAAGTGTGCATCAACATATGTATCTATAAAAACTACGACAAAGTTGTTTAGTTCAAAATATAAGTTAAGTATTAATTTTAGTTGTTCAACTACATATACCATTGAAAGGCCTGTGAAAAATCTGACCATGTTGGTTTGTGGTATTATTGCTTATTAATCAATCGCAGTCATAAACATCAATGGGAAGATCCAATTAAACAGTAACAAATTAATTTAACTGACTAAAAGTTTAGAATACTTAAACCAATTGCTTTTTTATCTCATAAACATTAAATTTAAATATTCTACATTGTATAGTATCAATATCCAATACATTGAATATTAGAAGGGGTTTTTGTGAATATTATAGTGATTTTCATATTTGAGATCATAATTCAATTGAAGTTAGACCGCTAATCAACTCATGATCTCAACTATTAAAATTACTATAATATGCACAAAAATCCCTTCTGATACTAATCAATATATGCTCACTAGTGACAGGATTCAAGAAGTATTTCGTGGAGTTCTAGTGAGAAACAGTGACTAGTGGATTTCATTCGGGTCTGTTGTGAGATAGTAACTCACTGATGACAATGGTGAATGTATCGCTCAATTTCGTGGATTAGTTGAAGTTAAACAATAACACCGTTGGATGCGCGAAAACGATAAGTTGTGGATTCGAATCTCATGAGACGAGTTCGTGAATGCGCACTACTGAGGAATCCCATACTAGGAAGAAACGGCTGTTCAGTACTTCCAGGTTTCCTATGATGGTCTAGCTTCAATTGATTCATAATGTCAACTATTAAAATTTTATTAAATATAATTTACTGAAATGAAATCCTATCACATCCTAAGCTCCCAACTTTGGGGAAATTTTAGGGAAATCCCCAAAGTGAAATAGCCTTCCGCAAAGTTTGGGAAAATTTTGGGGTTTTTGTGCCATTTCCCCAAAGTTCACTATAGCGGTTTATTTAAAATTTTCCCAAAATTGGGAGCTCGGGATATTATAACAAATATGCAAAACGATACATTCGTTTGTTTTTCTTATGTAATGTATAAATGATCGAGTTATAACTTATATATAACCGTTTTAAAAAGTCATAAATTGTATACATACAATCTAAAAAAACTTCCCATTTTCTCTCAACTTTTGAACATCTCGATTCCATAAAACAAAAAAAAAACAAGCAAATTTTCCTTCGCATATTTTAAGGTTTTTTTTGTATAAAGAAGAAGAAAACTACAGAAAAACCAAAACGTCAAAAATCTTTACACACAGAAAAAAAACGAAACAGGTTTAACATTGACATTAGAGAAACAGAAAAAGTTTTCGTATGTTGAAAATTTGAAAATCATTTCTCTGGGTACCTTGTTCAAAATGGATTGGTTAATACATATATAGACAGAGATACAATGACAAAGAACTTGCGCATAGGGAGGGGAGTAAATATCGTCTTGAAAGTATTCGGTACCTTTTTTTACACTATCGGTTAAATTTATTGATTTTTCTGAATGGTTACTCTCATTCTTTATGTTGAAATACATTAAATCATAGTGAAAAATATTCTGTTAGAATAAGTTTAACTCGATATTAAGCCCTTGACTAAATTGATTGAGAAAATAAACGAAGTTTTATATTATTACTTAAGGGAATTGAATATAAGATAAAAATGATCCACATATATTGCAACTATATTATAGTTCATTTATGTTTAGCTAAGAGAAATTATGTAATAAAATAAGGAAAACAATTAGGAGTGAAAACGTTTGAAATCATCTTAGAGTTAAAATGTTACAATATATCAGTAAGGAGATGTGAAGATGTTGGGAACGTTAGATCCTCAGAACTCACTTGAAAAAGGTCCTAATTCTGTAATTTTATTTAGGTAATTTGAATTGTTTTGTTTTTTTTGCGCCAAAAACGCTCTTTTCGCTTTCATGTTGTATTTCTCACTTGGGAGAATCTTAAACGCTTTTGGTCTGTTGTATCTTTTAGTATGCTATTTTGTAACACTTTCCAAGGACAGTTTTGTTCTGTATATATATACGTTTTGATTTGTGTCTTTTTATCGCTCGTGCTTTTGGCTTTCTGTCGAATATAATTTGCCGTCCGGACTTTGACGACTCTCTTTATTTAGCGGGCCTGGGACTCAACAGAATAGCAAGTTCATTGGTCTTTGGTCACAAGTCTTTGTTCCGTTCGCAGTCTAAGTGAACTCGTAATCGTTTCAAACTTAGCAGAAGATTAATGAGTTTTTGATTGAGACCATGAATTGATTGATGTTAGACCACAATTGAAAACCTGAAAGCACTGAACGCTGTTTTGTCCTAGTATGGGATTTCTCAAATAGTGCGTATTCATGAAATGGCCATCCAGTGTTTCTAGGTTTTCAATGATGGTCTAGTATTGATGGATTCATGTCAGAACATAAAAAACAATGATGTTTGATATTGAACTTAATAAGTTATTTCTGAAATTTTCAAAAATTAACTACATTCATTATCCATATATTTTACCTTACTTCAAACATCCTCAATAAAACAGTTTCTAGATTTCGGCGTTCAAGAATGAATTTTAATGACTCATTTAGCCCAAATTTTAATTAGACGGAGGATTTTAGCTGAATCTAACTGTTATTTAAACCGGAAAATAGTCTAAATTGAATTTTTGCACAATAAGAGAGAAAAAAATAACTTCCAGTTACAAATGTGAAAACCGTGCTCGTGGAACTTAATCACGTCAGTAGATTAGCATTGTTTGTCAGTTGACGCCAATATATAGTATGAGACAGTAATTGCCAGATCACATCTGACAATTATATGATTATGAATATACATTTGTTTACAACGTCGTATCCATTAAATTACTTGCTTACTGACACCTGATACCCCTCGTCGAGGAACATAGACCACCCACCACCATTCTTCATCGTACTCTATCCCAGGCAATCCTTTCCAGTTGTCTTCACTTCCTATCCATTCTTTTCATGTCTGTTTCCGATTCTCCGTGTAATGTATTCTCTGGTTTTCCTGTTTTCCTTTTCCTTTCACGATTCTCAGTTAGCGCTTGACTCGGAATGTAGTTTGATGATTTCCACAATGTATGTCCCACCCACTTCCAGAGTCTTTTCCTAATTTCCTATTCAACTGAAAGTCGGATTTTTCTATTACACAGTAGGTTTTTGCTGATAGTATCCGACCGACGGAGTCATCCAATAGATAACGCTTTTTATAATTTTTGTTCAACCATATTCTCTACTCAAGCAGTATCACAAGTTATAGCTATTCGTTACAACGTCAATAATAATACGTCTTTCGAATTAATCTTTAAAGAATACACAACTGTCACATGTTTCAGTGAATTGAGGTAATTTGTAGATAAGTTGAATTTCTTTTTTTTTCTTGTGTATGTCCATCATCAGGGTTTGTATTCAAATAAAACTAATTTGGTAATTATTTCCATCTATCAAACATGAAACATATTTACATTTCACTGTATGCTACTGTATGTCATCAAAACAATGTATAGAATAGTTATGTTTGTAAGAAATTTGAAGAAACACTATTCACTACTGTCATTGAAATATACCTTCCTACTGTTTTATGTTTTTTTCTTAAACAAAAAGAGTACAAAACTATTTCGATTGTGTTTAATGTTTTACAAAAAATGTATTCAATTAATGTCCATTAAATTTTACCATAAGATAATTGCACAAAATGATTTCAAAGCAAAGATCAATAGTGGCTAGTAGTGAAATCCAGGAAGTGCATTTTGTTCTATTTGAGACTCGTCAGCTGGATGGACTTGCATCTCAGAGTTGATGTTCAGTCTGGGACTCGAACCTACTACCATTCACTTCAAACATTATCGCTTTATTCACTTATCTACTGTGCTCTGATAGGCACTTGCTTGTGAAATGGGGTGAATTTTAAATTCACTTCATATTGTTTACTTGTATCTTACCATTGATGCGTATATACATATGCCAATAATTGACTGATCAATTGCAGTCCTAAATATCAATAAGAAGATTCAAGTAAACAATATTAAATGAATCTAAATGATTTCAAAGTTTACAGTTTTATTTCATGTGGTATAAATATAAGTTGAAATCTTGCTTGGAGCTAAAAAGATGTATGTCTAAAAGCATTTATGATTAGCAGTACGTCGTTTCAAGTGTTCCTGTTTGCTCTTACAAAACCTAAATCACCTGGAATAGTTTGGAAATTATCAAAGATAAACACTGTCTAACTGAATAAATAGTATTTAAGAATCTTCAGTTGGTATTTATTATGAATCGACACTATCTGAATGATACTTGGCAGTAAAGACGATCTAGAATCTTGTTTTGCTCATATTAGTGACTATTCAGTATTGCGTAACTATAGTTGATGGGCCTGCTAGCGTTCAGGTCATGCAACGAGTATGTTGTTTTCTAAAATATCCGTAAAGATCGAGTGATCCACATGTGCAACAACATTCAGTCTGTGACACAGCTTAATCATAATTATATACTGCCAATCATATATACCTCATATCTAACGTACTATATTACTCCAGGTACTACTCGGGTCATTCATTGTGATGAATACTATCCTGTTCTAAACAACTCGTAAAATATCAGCACGTAGGATAACAATGAATTCTGTTACATGTAATACTTTAAGCAATACATTTTACCTAATTATCAGCTAATAAAGTAATATACTGTGTAAATCAGACATGCTACGTGATTTCCCAACGTTGGTTAGTAAAGCACATGCAAGTATGGTTCACACAAAATGAGTGAATAAATCGTTAATCTTGTCAAGATCACTGTTTGCATTTTGGTAGCCCTTTATTTAGACGCCAGTTAGATCGGACGATGTTGCCGACGGGCTCATAACTTTAATAGCCTGGAATCTGAATCCAATTAGATCGTATATTGATCGCTTTTGAGTGGATGCTATCGAAATATATATGTCGCCTATCCTCGTATATAATTATCGAATTAACCCGCGTTAGCGAATAATAGGATTAAATAAATCAAATACGAGAAAAGATTTCGAACACGTATATTTTGAACAATCATAGATCTGGACAGACAATCAGAGGGACGAAGCGAATAGAAGAGAGCAAAAGCAAATGACACGCAATGGAGAAGGCATGTGAGCCAACTACACTCCAATTAATCAAGCGTTATATCAATATTTATAGTCAGAACAAAAATAACTTACAGACATGTGACGAATAGGACAAGAAGTGTTCACATATTCGCTTATATAAAAACAGTCATTGTTGGTAAGCAAATAATTAACAATGTCGAAACGTGACTCAAGTAGAATAGATAAATTGGCTTGTCCAGAATTTAGAATAAGTTATATAAGCTTAATATGATAACTGCTACTACAGCCTCCTTTAAATAGGTCAGACCAGTTCATCTATATTTAAATATATTTGCTTTTGAAATGAATTCACATTATCAGGAGAAAGATAATGAATGTGTGCACAAAAGGCGTACGATCAGATCTAAATGACTTTCGAGCATATTATCATTCTCATCTAAGTGATGTGATTTGATAATAACAATATAATAATAATAGCGGCTTTATTTATTACTGAAGATTTTATTACAGTAAAGAACTCTCAGCACAACTTGTGCGATCTTACAATAAATATCAATATTTTGATGAAGTTTTGTTCTCTGAGCTGAATGGTTTGATCGTGGATCATACATCGTTCTTCTGAACGACATCATCAGCACAAACTTCAGATAGAAGTGAAGTGTTCGAATTTCTCCATATGCGCTTCAGAGCTTGTTCTGTACACCTCGATGTTGATTGGTTCTTATTGACTTTAAATTTGTCATTGTAAAGTAAAGTAAACAATGACAAAAACCAATCAACAACGAGGTGTAAAGAACAAGCTGTGAAACGCATATGAAGAACTAGTTTAGGGGTTGTGGAGATTATTAAGTTTTTGATTAAGATCATGAACCGATTGATGTTAGACCATCACAATTGAAAACCTGGAAGCACTGGACGGCCGTTTCGTCCTATTGTGGGACTCCTCAGCAGTGCGCATCCACGACCCCACGAGCGGCATTCGAACCTAGGGCCTTCGGTCTCGCGCGCGAACGCTTAACCAACTGGACCACTGAGCCGGCATCCAATGGTGATAGTTTCTAACATCAACCAATCCACGAAATTGCGCGACCAACTTCCATTGTACTGAGGTAGATACCTGTCTCTACCCGACAAGGATTAGCTCCACTGGTTATATGAAGAAATTCGAACACTTCACTTCTATCTGAAGTCTGTGCTGATGATGTCGTTCAGAAGAAAGATGAAAGCTCCACGATCAAACCATCCAGCTCAGAGAACAAAACTCCATCAAAATCATCCACCTGAGCCACAAATCTTCACCACCATCTCAATCTCAACAACATACATATCAAATGTAATTATTCAAGTCATTTTATAGATGTTTCTAATAGCCAGTTTTTAATAGCTCATGAATACGTTTAATTAGCCTTCATAATAAATCAGATAAAATCAAATGAATT